TTTTTTTTTTTTTTTTTTTTTTTTTTTCTTTAAATAGGCCCAGTGCCCAAGGCTGATATTACTCAATAAGAAGATCGAGGTCGGGGTCCTCACAGTCTACCAGGAGTAACCGAGCCAAAATTGCTGAGAACCAATCAACTTGCTCGATTGATCAAAAGTTTTTTTTTTTCCGCGACTGTGGCCCCTCACGGACAACCGCCTTTTCGAACTCGGGCCATGACAAAGTTGCCGACTGCCTGTTTTTTCTGCCTTGCGGACTCAAAACATGCCGCGTCCGCCATTGTTTCTTGTTTTTTTTTTTTTTTTTTTCCGAAAACATAACCAGCTTCAGACTGCTAGTGGAGGTGGTATGAGCACACTCCACTTGTAGACATAACGTCGGTTGCCCCAGTCTATTGGTGGGGGGCTGCACCTGCTGAAGAACCAGCCGAACCAACGAACAGATCTTCAGTTGGTTAGAGCTCAGGTGTTGCAACCATGCGGTTGCGGGTTTGATTCTGATCCGCCCTCAGGCTCGCCTGTGCATGCTCAGTCAGTGTCTGTTTGACAAATTGACACCCCAGCCTAGCACAGCGTACATATATACAAGCTTTTTTTTTTTCTTTTCTTTTTCATAAGACACTGCAGGAAATAGTTGAGGTGATATGAGCACCCCCAACTAGTATACCCGTACCTGTCACTCCATCTATTGGTGGGGAGCTGCACCTGCTGGAAACCGGGTCCAGTGTCCCATTGAATACATAATCTTGAGGAGGTGGGAGATGAGTAATGAGCCTCTTCACCCAGACCAGGGTGTCAGATGAACATCAAGCACTAGCCCTGCTACTCATCCAGGCCGAACAATGATAATGGAACAATAACATTCTGAGGGGGTGGGAATGGGTTGGGGAAGTCCTCCAGTGGGCGGAGGGGAATTCAGGGATCTATCTCAGTCCATTCACCACCCCTTTCCCCCCCCCCAGCCAGAGTCTGCTGAATGAATGAAAGGTCTCGAGTATATCTTTCTTGGAAGTGTTGTAATGAATCTTCTCCTTAACGATTTCCCATTGGTACAAGAGATCCGTTTGAATTTGTTGTCTGATATTTTCAATGAACTCAGGACCATCCAATCTAGCACCTTCCCATTCGTTAGTGCATCTCCTTTGCCAAATGGCCCAAAGGATCGCTCTCCTACCCAGGATAAACAGGTTCTGAGTAAATTCATCTGTGTACACTGAAGACCATACTTCCAATAGAATTTCTTTCCAACCCCATGGCCATTTTGTCTTTGTACCCAATTGACTCCAGACACAATCCCACCATCTCCAAAGCCAGACTGCACCTGGGCACACTAGAAAGATATGTTCTATTGTTTCCGGAATTTTTCTAGTAGGGAAAGAAGATGTGCAGAGTTTACACCACGGTCCAGCTGTACCTTTTTTTCCAGGGAGGATCTGTCAATTAACCAGTCATTTGTTGGGAGACAGCGATGTTCGATTTGCCATTGAAGAGGTGCAACTTTTGCAGGCTTTGCTCTTATCGATTTGAACCATTTTACCTGGCTCATGTCTTCTTGGCTTAGGTTCAGATGTTGCATCCATCTCTGGGAGACTTTTTCTCTTAGGTTGATTTGAGTTTTAACATTCGATAGGTAGACTTAACTGATAAGGTATGTAGGGATCTAGTGTAGTTTCTATCCTGCTTCCTTTGATCTCCCCATGTCCAGTTAGCCGGGTCTATCCGTAGATCAGAGAAGAAGAAGAAGAGAAGAGAGAGAGCCTGGCAAGACTGCCACAGAATGAGAACTGAACACCAAATGCACCGATCAGAGCACCTTCTGCTACGCATGCAAGAGCAAGAAACAAAACTGTTACACCTAAGCACACATCGAAAGCAGAGAAACGCGAAGAGAGAACTTCAACAACCACACCTCTTTCGATTGAAAACTCACGGTCCCACAGACACCCTCACACATGGAATGCGGCCGATCCCCCAAGCGTTTCTCTCTCTCTCTCTCTCTCTCTCTCTCTCTCTCTCTCTCTCTCTCTCTCTCTCTCTCTCTCTCTCTCTCTCTCTCACGCGCGCACGCGCGTACCGTCGGTGTTGAACTGTGTCACTGCAAGAAGCAGCTTCGTGGCACAAATTACACTGATGGAGACGGTTAGGGATCCTACGATCTTGTGCAGTGATGGAATGAAGTGTGGGCACAGGGAGGAGTGCCAAGTGAGAGGCAAGGGAGACGATGGATGGATCCTGGCGGTCTCGGATTGGCCACGATTGCACTTCAGGCAATCCCACGAATACAACACACCCCCACGCGACCCCACCGGACCCGAAACGTAGGTCATATACATTCAGCATTACCGGCCCTTTTGCCTCAAGTGCAATTACAAACTCAATCCCTGACTGCACCGTAGTTTTCTCTAGATAAATAGATAGATAGCATAGCATAGCATAGCATAGCATAGCATAGCATAGCATAACATAGATAGATTAGATAGATAGACAGACAACAGACAGACAGACCGACCGACCGACTGACCGACTGACTGACCGACCGACCGACCGTGTTTGCATATATACACCCTGGTTTGTCTGCTTCTCCCTCTATACCTACGGTTTACCGGCCCGATTTGACGATATATACATACATGGATAATGTCTATACAGAGATTTATGATGATATCTATAATATATAGCATTCGGATATATAGTACACACCTTCATGGTGTCGACGAGCTCATTTGTTTCCTTGAGTTTGTTGAGGCCGTTGAGCAAGCGATCGTGCGCGAGCGTCATTTCTGTCCTTTTCTCGCCCAACAGCTGAATGTACAAATTGATGAGGTCCAGGTAGCTCTTGGGTGTGGTGTAGAACCTCCTCCTCAATTCCTGATAAAACCTTTCTGCCGTCTCTCCAACGGTTGTGTGGATCTCCACGCACATGAAGGACATCTTCTCACATATCTGATAGTAATATGTTTTTTTTTTTTGCATTTGGGGTGAGTGGGTGGGGTGGGGTGGGGGGGGATATCATTTTTTTTTTTTTTTGGATTAAAAAAGAAAAACCACCAACAAGAGAAACAGCAGAGAAAGACAGAGAATGGAAGTGTTTAAGAATCCGTACTTTTTGTAATGGGAAGAAAACTCTTGCAATTGGAACAAAATTTCCGTAACCAAACGAGAAAGAAATTGAAATTAACAAAAACAATGAAAGCAGCCCCCACGCTGCGATGGTTCAAAAAATAAACAAATAAATATAAAATTAAATAAATAAATATGCAAAAAGTAGTAAATTACTGAAAAATAATTATGTTGTCTGTGACTGTGACCTGCGGCAAAGTCCCACTAGCAAATAGGCTTGGATTGAGCGCCCAGATCCCGACGTACTTGTGGAGAGGTGCAGAAAATTGCGTTTATATGCTTTTCTGAATCTAGGCAAAAGACACGTTCAGATTCAAGCGCTTAATCCAATCATCCTTGCTAGCAGGACCTCGCCCCTGGAATTTTCATGCACACCCATGACAGCTTATCGCATAACTGATAATAAATTAATAATTTAGTATTTTGTAAATTGTTTTAATGGGATCGTGATATCCTTTTTCTTTTTTATTTTAAATTGTTGATAACCGAAATTCAAAGAAAAAACTCACAAAGGCAGAGAGCGGAAATGTTTAAGGCATCCGTATGTGTAATTTTTTTGCAGCTTTGTTATGGAGTCAAAAGTTTGGGAGGATTTTTTTTTTTTCCCGAATGGAAAGTCATTTTCTAGCAAAAATAAATAAAATAAAATTTAAAATGATGCAATTAAGGAATAATTAAATTACGCCTGCGAGGAATGAGCTCTCGCAGGGCCCTTATCAGACATGTACATGTTCTGGGCAGAGGCCCTCAGCAAGTCCTGTGCCCGCCCTAAGTGAAAGCGGGCCTGAATATTGACAAGAGGCCAAAATTTGACATTTTCCATATGTGGGTACTCAGACAGTTGCCGCACGCCAGATGGTTACGTGGAAGCATGAGCCTCCTTGCATCGGGTAGTTGCGCCTGGGCACCACATTGAGAGGCAGATTCATCACGAATTGGCCAAGGGCCTACGAAAAAGCAACATTGTTGACGTACGTGCCCCTGGGCCTGTGCAGATACAGCAAAAGGCCGAAGTGTAGAAATGTGGGGTGTGCCCAACTGTACGGGGCCCAGGCCCTCAACTACAAAGTTCGGCCTGGGCGCAGGCACCGGGGCCAGACCCGAAGCTACTGGAAGCTTCTCGGCCACGCCCACACACAGCTGAACAGAGGCTGCCACTTCGATATAGGAAGAGAGGGTCTGGCATTCTGACCCAAGCTGGCAATGCGGTCACGCTGCTGCGCTATTTGGCCAGGGGCACACATGGGCGCTGGAGTTGAGGGCGCTGAAAGGGCAGCGGGGCGCTAGCGGCCATAGCCGGGCTGCAGGGCACGGCGCAGGTAGAGGGCAACAGGAGGGTCTTCGGGAGGAGGTGCAGAGAGAGAGAGTGGGTGTCAAGGGGTGATTAGGGGAGACGAGATACGTACCTGGTGCATGAGGGAGGTCGGCTATGGTGTTGACATCATGTACATTGGTCTTCAAAGTCGAAGTGAGCCTGTTGCGGGAATGCGGCTGTAGTAGATAGGCAAGTAGTGTAGGCTGAGCGCTGGGTGCCAGACAGAGAGGAGTGAAATTGAATACTGGGTTGGTGTGGCCTGAGGGCTTGAACATTGCTTCACGAGTTCATTGTATTGCTCTTATTTGGATGGAATCTCGGTGCATTTGTGCTCTCTGCTTGTACATGACTATATGGATATCTGTGTGATTAAACTTGGTTTTTTGTATATTGCTCTTGCTCATATTCCTTGCAATTTGGTATCAGAGCTGGTTCGAGATCGCCTATCTGCCGCCGGCGACATTGTTACTTGGTGCGCTGACGATGCTTCTGTGCAGTGAGGATACATTGGCGCTGGCTTGTGAAAGCGGCACCCGGGTAGAGGGGTGAGCCACTGGAAGGCTGTGGTGACAGTGTGGGAGTTGTGGCGACAGCGGATGTATGTATGATGATGAGAGCATGTTGATGTGGCATTTTGGCTGAGGTGGCACTGCATTGTGTTATGGGTGGTCCCGAAGCTACAACCGGTCATCGAAATGCACATTGGCTCAATTGGTGAGAAATCGCTGGTTGGGGGCAGCTATCTCCAGGTATGTTGTTCCCTTACCGTATCTACCCTCTCAATCTCTTCTTACCGTGAGGAAGTGAGTCCAACCTTGAGTGTCCTCTCTTTTGTGTAAGTCGTGAGCGCTCTACCTTGAGAGCCAACATTCTTCCCGGTGGCGCATCACGCAGGAGAGGGCGGTGCCTCTGAAGGGCCCTGGTCAAAGCACGGGTCACGGTCACCATGCCAACCCATGAGAGTAGTACACGCAGGCCATGCTGCTTCGTCCTTTGAAGGTTCTTTGCTGCGCTGATAGAAGGGGTGTGCGGACTGACCAGTCTTATGCAGACGCTTACCAGACCGTCTATAAATATTTCTGGTGGGGGTCTGAACTGTCCACTGGCTCTGATCGTCGTTCTGTCTGCGTCGTTAAACAGGCACGTTGGATACAGGGGAGGGAGATTCCAATTGAGACTCAACTATCAATCACAACTATACCCATTGTGCATACATCTGCTCACACGATTTATTTTTATTTTTGATTAGGTGGTGGACAAACTGTTGACACCTAACAGACAACCTAGATTAGTACTATAGTGTTCTACCATAGCCAGTTCTGATCGAAGCTGTTGTGAGTGAAACTAATCAAGGTAGGAGTAGATCATGTGTACAGTTTGTGAATGTTATTGACACCGCTTGATCAGTAGCCTCGGCAACGTACCGAGTATTTATTTATTATTATTTATTTTTCAACTCGGTCAGACACAAGTTGTGGTAGGATCCAGCAAGAGCATTAGTGTAGATAGTGTCTGCCTAGCTGATGAGTCTTCCAGTCAGATGGAGACGTCACAGTTGAGCTCGCCACCTCCACGCACTAGAGAAGCCATTGAACTCCAGCAAGTGGAGTTGATCCGCTTACGGTTAGGGAAGGAACTTAGAGAAGCTACTAAAAAGAAGAATGAGATTAGAACTAGGAAAGTTAGACTAGAGAATAGGAAGGCGGTCAAAGCTGCTGTAAAAGGGTTAGATGACGTTGTCACTGATGACAACACGCAGATCCTCAAGGCAGGTCTCCTGTCCATGCATGCATACATGGACAACAAATTGGATGCTATCCAGGATAACCTTGACCAGATACTGAGCACCATGCAGGGAATGGGAAGAACTTTCCCATCTCCAATAGGTCAGCCCAGTTTCAGGCCTTCAGTTTTCCCATCACCGGTCTCCTCACCGGTGATGACTGGCCTTACTATGTCTCAGATAAACAGTTCACCAAGCGGTACTTCAACAGCACGATCACAGACTGTTTAAAGCGGTGAGTTCCTCGTTAGTATGTAGCAGGGCACTGACCACAAGGCTGCTGTCATCCTTCCACTCACCCTCACGGCCCTTCTGTCCCCTGAGCTGGTGTTCAATCTCTTCCACTTTAGCTTTCAATCTCCTCTTCTCATCCAACTCTGCCCTTTTCTTTATCAGGAGCCGCTAATGCAATTCATGTTCTCCCTCTTGCATCAGCAACTCTCTCTCTACATCGTCTTCTGCCGCCTCCAATTTTGCTGTAAGTTCTGCCCTCTCAGCTTCCGACTCTTCTGCCCAGTCATCCTGCCTGAATCCAAACTTCTTCATCCACGTCTGGGTGTCAACTGGGTAAAAATGCAGTTGACTGGACTCTCCCCTTTCAGTACGCATACCTCCTTCAACCCATGCTGTCCATGCATGATTTCAGTGGGGAAACTCTTCTATGGTTGGATCCCTCCCCGCTTGATGTGAGATCAGATCTGAGCCACATTGTCATTTTCTGCATCGTCAGACTTTCTTGTTCGTTTTTTTAGTCTTTCGTTGTGTCCTGTTATATCTCTTCCTCACTTTGGACGATCGTTTGGACTTGAATTGCCGACGGTTCACTCCGGCATGCATCAGGTGGGGTCAGATATGCCTTTCACCCCTGTTTCTTCTTCTTCTTCTTCTTCTTCTTCTTCTTCTTTCCCAAACACTGAAAGGAAGATTTAAACAAAAAAAAGGGAAAAAAGAAGGAAAGGAAAAGGACCATTAAGGCTTCCCCCCCCTCCCCCTCACCTCTGGCGAGCCGAGGTCTAAGTTCTGCAAAAAGTTCTTGCTGACAGACAGCAGAGCTTCCTCCGGCCATTCGTTAAACCAATCGATGGTGCTACAGTTGATGAGGGAGGGGAACTGCCGACAGCGAGCTCGGAAGGTGTCTCCGACTGGACTCATGCATAGCACCACGTGCAGATTCTCTCTCGCGCGCCATAAGAAGGTAGCAAACATTACTTCTCTCGTTTCTGGCAATCCTTTGTCAATTACGTATTGACGGACATCGAGAATAATTTTCTCCTTCTCGTCAGAAGCAAACAATCCAGGGACTTCACCGGAATTCAGCAAGTTATTGATATCCTCCAAGAAACTCTCGTCAACGATTTGTGTGTCGGTGAACAGGAAGGTCACGCACTTGCCTACCACGCCTGCAATTCTATACAGCTTCTTCAAATCTTCGCGGAACTCGACGGAGCCGTAGATGCGAGTGAGCTCGATCTGAAAGCACTGGTGGTCCTCCATGTAGGCAGCGAGACGCGTGACGCTCTGCTTGCCCGAGCCTCCAACTCCGACCAACATTGCGTGCCCGCGCGGTTGACGCAGAATTCGCGCCAAGCGGGCTATATGATCAATCGCGTCGCGAAAGAAGACCAGCTTCATCTGGTTGGTGTTGGCCATGTTGTAGTCGGCCAAGTAGTCCTCCAGCGAAGAACCCAGCTTCTTCATATCGGTAATCTGCAGGGAAAAATAATAATCAATAAATTGGTAAATTAGAATTATGCAAAAAATCGACGGGATTATGGTCGAGTTTCTCTTCTTTTTTTCCTGAAAATTTTGTGACATTTTTTTACTTCCTTTTTTGCAAGAAGAAGACCAGCTTCATCTGGCTGGTGTTGGCCATGTTGTGGTCAGCCAAGTGGTCCTCCAGCAAAGAACCCAGCTTCTTCATTTCGGTAATCTGTAGGGAAAAATAATAATTAATAAGTTATGCAAAAAATCAAGAGGATTGAGGTGGTGGTGGTTTTTTTTTTGGAAGGTTTCTTAGTTTTTTTGTGACTTTTTTCAAGTTTTTGCAGACTGGGTTAATCAACTTAATCTGATTGATGTTGTGTGGGAAGGTCGGCTCAAAGTTCGTAGAACATTCATAGCATGACCGTGAGCATGAAGCATGACACAGAGTGACGTGAAGCACCGCTTGCGTCGCGAAGTGCAGAGAGCATGCAGGACCCGACGTACACACAGCAACTCGGCAACACTTGCATCATGACATCAGCATAATAAGAACAGTGAGAAAAAGAAAAAAAATCCATGAAGAACAAAATGCACATGATGAAGGCGCCAGTCGGCCGGCCCTGTGGCACAAGCTCCCTTGAAGTTGGTCATGTTGTAGTCGACAGCCCAGTGAAGAACCCAGCTTCTTTACATCGCTGATCTGCAGGGAAAATAAGAGTTAATAACTCTATACATCGCTGATCTGCAGGGAAAACGAGAATTCTCCAGAAGGTGTGTTGTGCACACAACAATTAACGGACATTAATTTAAATGTAATATAGGACGAAACTGATTTGGATCAGGGGCACTCAGAAGCTTTGACTAGCTTGGCTGAGTGGGAGCAAAATACACAGCATCTATCTATTATTGGTAGTAAACAAGCACCAACTGACCAAGCCTGCTGCATTTTGCAAGACCCCAAAGAAGGGCGTAAAAGAAAGAGAGCACAAGCCGGCCCTCACCTGCAACGACAGCCGGAAAAAAATGAAAAAGAGCACAAGCCTTATCTGCTCGCAAAGACCGGCAGGCCAGCAGGGAGTAGGCTAGCAGATGAGCGTGGTTGGGTATACCCGATCGCGGAGTAAGCCGTGTTGGGGTGGGGTGAAATACCCACTTAGCCTATTGGTCAGGTGTTTGCCTGGCAAGCCCTAGGTTGTCTGATTCTTGGATTGGACATGCACATAGTAGCTGAGCTGCTACTCATTATATCATCCCCACCCCATCCCCACCACCCGCCCTGCTCATTGCGATCTGCTCATCGATATCTGCTTAATATCAAGATCTGCTTAATATCGAGATCTGCCAAATTTCGAGATCTGCTTCATCGGAGCTGCTTATCCAACAGCACATCATCATACAGGTCATGCAACGCATCATCATCACGTTACTACTCCATTAAATTATTACACAGTTTTTGTTTGAGTCGGTCCACAATGCTCCACATACACATTGTTTCATGCCAACAAAGAGCACACACACACACACACACACACACACACACACACACACACACACATACATTCAGTTTCTTCCCCTTTTTTTGAAAAAGAAGTCGTATACACATTACAYATGGTTGCATATATAATAATAAAACTCATGGAATTTTTTTAAGCAGCATGCTACATGCATGTATTTAAGCCATCTGCAAACTCCTATTATGGGCGCCCTGGTGCCACTTGGGCCCGTCACAAAAATTGGAGGCCACCATATGGGACATTCCCGTATGACTGAGCTCACAGCAAGGCTGACTCTGTGTGAACCTGCTGGGGGCTTGCGTTGATTCACTTGTTCGGCTCTGAAGTATGTTCTTCCCCTTAAAAAAMCGGAAAGTCGCCTACAGGTCTCATGGTTATGGGATGTTATAAGAAACTCGAAAAAAAACTCTTGCGAATACCAAGGTTCCCTTCGAGGGACGCAGTGATTTTTGGGCCCGTAGTTAAAAATGGAGGCCTCCATGCAGGGCTCGTCCCTGTATGGCTTATGCCCCACTTGATGGGGTACCATACGATTACTATGGCGCTTAGGCTAAGATGGATTCCCGCCTATTATTTCGGGACTGGCACGCATCTGTGATATATAACRACGAGCATCTACARCGTTCGGCCTCTCTTCGGCTGGCGCCTTCGGATGATTACTTGGGGGCGCGACGGTTGGCATCGCCTACGTGTGCTGGGCACTCTGTGGTCGGAGCGTGGGGCTTTGATGATGTCACGCTCATTTGAATGACATGTGTCCGACTCTCGACTGCCTCCTCCAAGCTTTCGCTCTATCCCATCTCTGCTTCCTCCTCCTCTTCTTCTTCCCCGGGTGCCCTCCCACCCCTCGTCTGCTTCCCCCCCCTTCCCCTCCTCGTTGATATCGGTGGCGGAGAAAGGCTTTTTGCACGCACGTAACATGAGCGGCGCACCTTCGTCCTTGGCGTCACGGGCGACGGTAATGCGTCTCTGGTTCCTTGTCCCCACCACCCGCCCCCGACTCCCTCCCTTGCATCCTACTCTCTAAACGAGCTCGAAAGTGAGCTGGATCCCTTCCGGAATGTATACTTAAGGTGATTTTATACCCCTGATGAGCCAATCTACGGTGGGGATTGGCGAAAAGGCCTTTGGGATTACCCGCCAAAACCTTTTYGTAGCGTCGGCTTACGCGGGGCCGCATGGCCGGAGTGGGATCTTCTCTTCTCTTCTTCCCCTCTCCCCCCTACATCCTTCCTTTGATTACAAAGATGCATGATGCTACTTAACCATACTTCTTTTGTGAAAACTTCCGTTGTTGTCTGCATATGTGATGACGATTGTTTGTGTTAGGAACTTGTGACCGGGGCTSCGCTTCCMTGAAGTGGAGTATGGAAGCGGCTATTTTTGTCCTAGGAATCGTCGTCGTCTGCTCCATCTTGTTCGACTACTTGGCTTTCGTTGCGTATTTGGAAAGCGAGTGTATTAAAGYTTTTTGCCTCCAGCTGTCTTTGCATCTGAATCGATMGGCGGAAGTTGCGGGTAGAGGGAGGTGCCTTGTTGAGAAATGATGGGGAACTTTGGGGGAYACTGTGGGGAGCTGCGTCGGAGCATGTGGAAAGCTGCGCTAGTGTTGGTCGTAATGATTCCATTGATTRCTGTCACGATGTTTTTCGGTGGCAGTATGCTCTTCGCTAATGAGGGGATATGCTTGAAGTGGACTGGAGGGTATGGGTCTGCTGGGGGTGGTGATCTCTTCATCGCTATAGTTGTAATGCATTGGTCCTTCGTAACGGCGCTGGTCGTTCTTTGTTTCGTTGGGCCTGGTGGTTATAATTGCCGCTGTTGCTGCCACGCCTTCCTCTTCCTTTTGGGGGCTGCGTAAATAGCTTCTCGTTGAAGTAGCCTGTGTATGATGATGAGGCGATAGCAGATAGTATTGAATCTGGGATAGCATGGCAGTACGAAGCTTCGCGGTCTTTGCGCCTGAATCAAGTGATGTGTGTTTTGGGGTRAGGGAGGTGTCTTAGTGGGAAATAATGGGGCACTTTGTGAAAAACTGCGGGGGATGGCATCGGGGTACGTGGAGGGCTGTGCCAGTAGTAGTCGTAATATTTCCCTTGATTACCATCGCGATGTCTTTCGATGATGGTGTGCTCTTCGCTAGAAGAGGGTATGTATGATGCGGACTGGTAGTGGTGGGAGAGCTAAAGGTGGGGATCTCCTCGGCTGTAATGCAGCGATCCTTCATAATGGTGCTAATTGTTCTTTGCTTCGCTGGGCCTGTTGAGTGCAACTGCCGCTATTGCTGCCATGCCTTCCTCTTCTGGTGGGAGTTGCGTAGACGGCCTCTCGTTGGGGTAACTTGTGTATGTAGAGAAGATGATAGCGGTTAGTGCTGGGGTATGAGGCTTCGCTGCTCGAGTTTGGGTTTTCGCCTGGATGTTGACGGCGCTGTTGGGAAAATTTTCCTGGCGGAGTCTTGAGGCTTTTTTCTTGAAGATTATAAGCTGAGGAGACCCCTTATGAATGGGACGCAGCCGTCTCGTGCCAATTTTTTTTCCCCCATATCGCCTCTTTCCCTTCCTTTGCCTTCTTCTCCCCTCTCCTGACTCCCTTCAATATATGAATGTTTCGTTGAATGCTCACTGAGTCTGTTTCTATTCCCTTCCTTGATTGATCGGGTTGGATGGGGGATTATTAATTGATCATGCTTATGCTATTGGCAAATGGCCAGGAATTTATMTTTCCGCGTGTGCTATCTCGTGAAAGAATAGGATGGCCTTTGCTTCACATTTTTTTTGCATCTATATAGGTGAAGTCTCGCTCATATTGTTTTTTAAGAGCTGTTGGTATTTCGTGAATTCTGTAATGAGATGTGAGTATGAGCCCGCCTACTTGATTTAGTAAGAAGCATCTTTCCTTTCTTTTCTCTCCCCATACCCCCCCTGCCCTCCCTCCTTCTTTATCTTCTACTCTGAATTTTGGGCCCCRGAGCCCTGTGTGGGTGATCTCTTTGAGCTCAACATTTGGAAAAATTGCTTGGGATAGTCCGCGGCGGATACACACCACTATGTCTATGGAGCTTTTTTCAAAAGCAGATTGAATCAAGTTTTTTTTCCTGTTATACTCGCTTTAATCTCCTAGAAGTACGCTGTTGCCTCCTGAGATTGCGTCTCGGAGCCGAGCCTTGCAGCCCGCCACGTCATATTTCGTGGGGGTTTAGTAACAAGTATCGCACACACAATCAGTTTTGTCTCTGTTGTCCTCTTGTTGTCTGTCCCCCCTCCGTTTTTTTTCCATGTATTTTTGCTTACCCAACTGAGCACCCTTGAGTAGTGCCAAACAGTGGGTTGTTCCACGTTTGGAGTGCCTACTGGACTCTTAGGGGGGCCGCTTGGTTCAGAATGTCTGTGTTGCCTGTGGGTGATGACGGATGCTCGTCGAAGTGTCTCCCTGGCTCAGTGGGTGATGGGAACCAACAGCCTGCGGGGTTCAATCGTGACGTGAGTAGGTCGTGTGCCGCTTTGCTCCATGTTGGATGAGTGGACAGCCTCGTTTTCGCTCCGCCACTGCCTTGCTGCCTGTCCCGCTTGCTTCGCATGTGGTTCTCTGCAGGTTGATGTGTTCGCTGTGTGGTGCGGCCATGTTGTTGGTGTTGCCTTGCGGTTCGCTGGTCTGGCGCCTTGCTGCCCATTCGCTGGTTGTGCCTCTGTGTTTGCTGCGTGTGGGCCTCGTAGGATGGTTGCCTTGTTGCTGTTGCCTGCACGGTTGCTCTGCTGTTCATCTGTCTTCCGCTGCCGTGTCGTTCCTTGCAGTCATGGTTTTTGGCGTTGTGCAGCCGGGTTGCCTCTACTGCGTTCCCTGGTGCACCGCAGGGTTGCTGCCCGCTGCTATGTTCCGCTTCGGGGCAGTCTGCCTTCAACAAGGGTCAAAGGGTTCATGACCCAAACCATCAAATACGGAGATTCCGCAGATTGTCAAGGGTTCAGCCTCCTGATGACTCGGTGCAACTCCGACGAAACAATCTATCATCAGTTTTTATGTTTTCCAGTCTTTGCTTTTTTTATACTAGTATTTTTTTCGTTCACTGCTTTTGCCTTGTCGTTATTTGACTTGCAGTCGTTCCCTTACTGCCTTATGCTGTTTGCCTGCCCATCTGCCCAGCCCATGCCTTTCACCCAGTGTGCTTTGTTGTCTTGTGCTGTTCGCCTGGCCACCCGCCTCCCTGTGCCCTCCAGCCGATGTGCCTTGCTGCCCCCTGCTGTTTGCCTTGCTGCATACTGTTTGTCTTTCCATCGAGGCTCGGTCTCATAGAAAACGTTTACAAGGGAATCGATAAGAGAGAATTGTGTATTGCTGTTGGGTCCTTGGACTGCATCCCTGATGATTCAATGGCACAGAGTACACGTCACGTGTACTGGAGCGTCATTCGCTGTGCGTTTGCGCACGCGCGCGCACACACACCACACACACACACACACACACACACACACACACACACTTGGGCTGGAACGGCAATGCCTCTACAATTACGGTCGACGTGCATCTGTGTTCCTAGCATGTTGGAGCCACGTAGCCTGTGACATCTGTCTACACCGTGCCATTCGATGCAGTAACTGTGACTGTGAGAATTGGATGCGGTGCTTTCACAGGCCGCACCCAAACCGGTCCTGCCCAGTCTGAAGAGGCAGCCACTTACCATAGGCAACAGCTGCTCCTCAAATTTATGCAACCCAAACACTGACTGGCCTCATGTGCCATTCTAGAGTGGTCTGCCCCTGCAGTCACTATTTAGAACCCTGTCAGAGCTCCACCTCCCATCTCCTTCCTCCCTCCTCTTGTGTATTACCAGGAATACATACGAATGAGCGTCATTACGAGAACAGACAAAATGTAAGTTGAAGATCTGAGAAGAAATGAACAGGAATATACTGCCGCCTTTGTTTTGCCTCCTTTCATAGTGTGGAAGTGGGCCTTTATGGCACACGGGGATGTGGCCAGCTCATGCTCAACCATAATCGATGTGGCAAGCCTTATGCAGGGAAGGCATGGTAAAGGGGCAGATGCAAGAACAAATGAAAGGGGTACCCCGAAGAAAGCAAATGTGAACACATTCAAGAAAGGGGTTTTTCTATTTATACTTCATGATGCTTGCTATAGAGGTGAAACTGTTTCATTGTTGGGTTGTATGAACTCAAGGGCTGTTGCATACTCATGAATACTTCAACAAGTATGGGCAGAACCAAAGATCAACCAATATAGGATGAGCATGTCTGCAGCGGAAGTATGAGAAATGGACTGACTCACATAGACTGAACTCATACAGATATCACTCAACACACAAACAATCGTGAGATGGTGGGGTCTGAGCCAATCATAGACGATGCTCAGGCCCCGTACAACCATACAGAGACGAAAGGTGGGAGGAGAGACGATGGAGGTGGGAGGTGTAGGCAGCGCCAGATGTCACCGAGATAGAATCCAGTAGGTCACTGATATGGTAGTCCAAAATGTCATCGAACACAATCAGAATGCCGTGGACAATAAGTCACCAATGTCAGAGGTACAGAGTCCTAATGTAACCGGTGTCCAATCTGTGATGCCGCCGAGTATCAATCCCAACTATCTCCAAGTCTCGAATCCGGTAAGTATCACAGCCTCTTACCACCGAAGTCCAAAAATCTGTGATGCCGCCGAGTATCAATCCCAACTATCTCCAAGTCTCGAATCCGGTAAGTATCACAGCCTCTTACCACCGAAGTCCAAACACTGATCTCTGTCCAACTCGTATCAAAGTCTCCAATCTGAATAGGAAGAAGATGAAGTCTGAAGAAGAAGAAGAGGAAGTCTGAAGAAGAAGAAGAGGAATAGTAGAAGAAGAAGATGAAGATGGAGAGGAGAGATGGGGAAGCTGGTGAGGGCCTCGGCCTAACCTGCAGGTAACAAGCTGGTGCCTTAGCGGTGGGGGGAGATCTGCTGCAGGTCGCGGGAGCTATGGTGCTCCACGGTCGCAGGTAAGTCCCCTCGCTCCTCCTCGCTCCTCCTGGACTGCAGTGCGCTAAACTAGCGCTGCAGTTCCTGGTGCTGCGCTCAACCAAAATAGCGCAGCGTTGCCTCTCGCTGCTCCTCGTTCCAACCTGGGAGAATGGCCACTGGACCGGCCTAAGTACCGTCCGGCGGCCGGCCGGCCTTGATGCTGGCCTCCTGCGCCGTGGGCTGAACTGTCGAAATGTCCGTTCAGCCCAGACCGGCGGGCAGCAGCCTCAAGAGCGCCGCCAGGCCCAAACGGTCATGTCGTTTGGGCCGACCTGGGTCTGCTGGCGCTGGGGTCCAACCGGTGGCCTAATAGGGCCTACCGGGAGGAAAAGGCCTGGCCTTTGGCGAGGCCGGCCTGGGTACCCCTGAACCGGTGTGTGGGGCCTGTGGAGGCCCGTGTGAAGTCGCAGAATGTAACACACTCCCCCCCTTAAAAGACCGAGCTACCTGCGAGGGCGAAGTTGTCTGTCCGATACCTGGGTGGGTTGGGTGGGACGAACTTTGTCCTTGGCAAGTCTCCGGTTCTCGTAGTCGGAGAAGATGAGTGGTGCAGATGCCTGTAAGTCTGCGCGGGAGATCCAACGGGTGTCATCCGGGTCACATTGCTTGAAAGTGACTTGGTTTTGCATTGGTTTGTTGCCAAACTTGCGGTGCCTGATGACACAGTCAACTTCCTGATGGCCGTCCATAGAGGGCGGATCCTGTGATCGTCTGCCCAGGAACTCGTCTGCGGATGGTGGCGTGTAGACGGCCAGCTTCGACGCATGGAAGACCGGGTGCACACGGAGGTGCGGTGGGATGGCAATCACAAAGGAAGGACCTGCAGGGTCGTCGCCTGCTGCAGAAACTACCTTCCATGGTGCAAACCATTTTGGGAGGAGTTTGCGCGAGACGTCCTCTACTCGAGCGAGAATTCCTGAGCGAGGACCCAAACAAGGTCTCCCTCGCGGAAAGGGCATGGGAGTCGACGTCGGTTGGCTTGCTGCTGCATGCGGATTTGAGCCTTTTGCATGTTTGCACGGGCTTTGATCAGCAAGTCCCGGTACTTCCGAACGGAAGCGGGAGAGCAAGCGACGTCTATGTCGGCGGCCCGTGGTAGAAGAAGATCGACAAAGACTCGGGCTTTCTCTCCACCGTGATGCAACTCGAATGGAGTGATGCAGATCGTCGGGTGCACCGAAGTGTTATAGGCGAACTCAATGTCGGGAAGCCGGTCAACCCAATCTTTCTGGTCGGGACGGATGAGTGTACGTAACATCATTTGAGCGGTTTGATGCGCTCGTTCCGAATGTCCATCCGTCTGCGGGTGCCGTGCGGAACTCGACTTCATAGTCGAACCGGACTCCGTCATGAGGGAAGTCGAGAAGGCGGACATGAAGCGAGTGTCTCTGTCGCTCACAATATCTTCCGGAACACCGTGGCATGTAATCCAGCCGGTGTGCAAGAGTTGGGCGAGCTCGGGAGCTGTAGCACGATACTTGCATCGGAGAAAAAGAGCGTACTTGCTCAAACAGTCAACGACCGTGAGAATGCTGTCATGACCGAGGTGATCGCGGGGGAACGGGCCTGTAACATCCATAGCAATGGAGAGGCGAGGTGCCCGAGGAATCGACATCGGTTTCAGTTCCCCATAAGGGACCTGAGATCTACCTTTGTTACGATGGCAAACTGCACATGACTCAATATACTTCGTGACGTCGTGAAGAACGTCGGGCCAGTGAAAACGCTGGCGGAGGCGGGTCAATGTGCGGGTCACGCCAAGGTGTGTCGAAAGTCGTGCGTCGTGGAATTCGCCCAGAAGACGAGTCCGTAAGATGCGATCTTGGGGCACCACTAACAAGTCCTTCCCTCTCGTGTGGAGAAGTAGGAACCCGTCGGAGATACGATAATGACCAGCCGGCGGGTGATCCGATGAGAGCTCCGCATAAAGCGTAGAGTAAGTCGGATTGGACTTGTAGCCTTTGACGAAATGCTGCTGCAGATCGTCATCTAGTTGGAACGTCGTCGTTACGAGGGCACAAAGATCGGGCCTCCGTGAGAGGGCGTCCGCTGCTCGATTGGCGGGACCGGGAATGTGGCATGGCTCAAAGTCGAACTGGTCGATGTAATACATCCATCGACCGATCGTGCTAGTGACCGTGTCCTGCGTTTTATAGAAGGTCAACGGATTGTTGTCCGTGCTCCATCTAAAACGCCGAGGACCGAGAAGAAAGTGGTGCCACCGTTTGAGAACAATGACAAACGCGAGTAGCTCTTTCTTCCTAGCGTCGTCAAGAGTGTTGATGGGAGGCACTTTTTGGGAGAAGTACTCGACCGGGTGCCAACCATCCATGTGGCATTGTTCCAATACCGCACCAATACTGTACCCGGAAGCATCCGTAGTCACTTGGGTGGGTAGGGTGGGATCATAGATACGGAGGGCCGGTGCGTCTTGCATCGCCGCCTTCAACGTATTGAACGCGCCACGAGCTGCGTCGTCGAACTTGAATGGTACCTTCGGGGACTGAAGTCTCGACAAAGGAGCTGCCACTTTGGAGTAAGACTCGACGAAGCGCTGATAGTATCCAGCCAAACCCATGAAAGAGCGTACGTCTGTCGTGCAACGGGGTTCTGGCCAATCCACGATGGCTTGGATCTTGTCCGCTAAGGGACGAATGCCTTTCGGCGTCACATAATGGCCTAAATACTCAAACTCTTGTTTGGCAAATTCGCACTTGTCGCCGTTTGCTTTGTACTTAGGCTGCTCGCAAACGATCCAACACCACACGAAGGTGTACGAGGTGCTCGTCAAGCGTCCTGCTATAGACCAAGATATCGTCGAGGTAGATGAGGATGGTACGATCGAGCAAGTCTCGGAACTCCGTTGTCATGGCCGCTTGGAAGGTTGTCGGGGCATTGGTGAGTCCAAATGGCATCACGACCCACTCAAAATGCCCATACCTCGTTTTGAAGGCGGTCTTGTACCGGTCTTGAGGCTGGATTTCAATCTGGTGGTAACCCGACTTCAAGTCCAACTTCGAGACGTACGTCGCGCCGCCCAACCGCTCGAGGAGATCATCAATCCTGGGGAGAGGGCCGGCATTCTTTACGGTTTGTGCGTTAAGTTTTCTATAGTCGATGCACAGGCGTAGGTCCTTGTTCTTCTTCCGGACGAAGAGAACTGGTGCACCGTATGGCGAACAACTAGGGCGAATCCAGCCCTTGTCGAGAAGGTCATCGAGTTGTGCGCGAAGCACCTCGAGTTTCTCTTCGCTCATGCGGTAAATGCATCCACACGGAGGGACGACACCCGCCTCGAGAGTAATCCCGTGACGTATGGGCCGATCCGGAACCGTTCCGGTGGGAGCCTCAAAAACGTCTCTATACTCGTCCAAGAGGTGAGAAATGCGTGGGTCCGGCGGTGACGCGGCTGGTCCGTCCGGCGAGGGGAGGGCATGTAAGAAAACAAGGCCCATCTCCTCGATGTTGTTCCGAGCTATGGCGTTGCGAATCCTCGCAACGGAAACCACGCGACAAGCAATCGACGTGTGAGGGGTCGCGACCGTACATGGGACTAACACTCTGTTCCTATCACGAATGTGAACGGTTCGGTCATGAAAGTTCACCAGATGATCAGCGCTACGCAACCAAGACATGCCTAAAATCATGTCAAACTTGGTGTCGAGGACGTCGAAAGACACCGGCTCATATGCAAGGGGCGCAAAATATATCGGGACGTCGTCAACGCATCGGTCGATCGACTTTTGCATGCGGCCATCCGCGAGTGTAACTTGCGTAGGGTGCGTCTTCCTTCAAATGCGCGGGCCATAAAGGCTTGGCTCATGAAGTTGCGAGATGCTCCGCAATCAATCAAGGCACTGCAGGTTGCCTTTCCGATTTGAATGCGGATATAGAGCAAAGGTGCGTTGGTCTCGGCGTACCTTTGGGTGGCGTACTCGCGGTCAATCTTCGCAAGATAGGAGCGGAGATCGACAACGCTACTCCGTCGTCCGTCAACGGAGTTGGTACTGCAACGTGCAAGTAGGAGCGCAGATTTGCCATCAAGGCGTTACAATGCGGCCTTGGCAAGGTTCCGGTTGAGGGTGGAGGCATCCAAGCGAAGTCCTCTCTCTTGAGCGGGTCAAGCTCCTCAAGTCTTGACCACGCCATCGAGTCCTCGGAAATCAGTGGTGAACTGACCGGATCACTTGCCGATTGTGTACAGGCTGTGCATACGCTATCTAAGTGCACGTGGCTAGGCTGGTCTAATGGTGGCACCAGCTGGGCAGCATAATCCTCGTATGTATGACGGGAATCAGTGACTAACGCATGCTCCCCGGTAGTGATATCGGTTGTTAGCAAGGCAACCGGTTCCGGCGGAGTGAGGAGAGGTGTCACCCCTCTCCGTGCGCAACTCAGTTTCCCGAGTTAGCTGGACGGGGTACGCGTGCCTTGCCCTTTTCCGAGCATTGTGTCATAGTGTGGTTGACAATATTGCACCAAAGGCAATATCCGTACCGTTGACGAAGGTCAAATACTTCCTTGGTAATGTTGTATGTCGTCCATGGTTGCTGCCCAGTTCCCGTCGATGCCGTCGCTTGTATCGCCTTGTTCTTCCAAACTCTCTTGGAACACTTCGACGGGAGCGCTGCGACAACTCCATCACTCGAGGATGCTGCTGCAGCGTGAAGGTTGATTGGTTCGTCAGGAACCACTGCATTGTTATGCGTCGGCCGTTGGTAGCCTTGCTTAGCCACATATTGCGGTTGGGACTGCCGTTCGTTGGCGGCCTTGTCATCCGTTTGGATGACCAGGTTCGCACGATCCAGAATGGCCTGGAATGAGGCATAATCGTGCTCGTTGCCGAGTGCTGACCGCAGTCCTGCGCACGATTGCGAAAAGAACTCGGATTGTTGGCTTGGGAAACTCAAGTCGAAGCCTGGAGTGGTTACTATCTTCTGCCACTTGATCGTCCAGTCTCGAGTTGGCATGTTCCCTTGCGAGCTGGAGTAGACGTCGTTCATGGCCGCCTTTACGACGTTGTGGACCATAAATCGAGTGTGCCACATTTGCTCGAACTGCTTCCACGGAATGTGCGTGTGCAGTTGGGCGATGGTGCATCCCAGATTGGCCGCGGTATGGTTCATCCATGCCTGTGCTCCTCCAATGAGTTGGAGGTAGAGCGCTTTCATCATATCTTCGGCCGGTACAGAGTGGCAGGATGCTTCGGTGAGGAAGGTTTGCCACCATGTCAAAGCGTCCGTCTTGTTGTAGTCGTCAAACTTGCCGATGTTGAAGCGTGGCATCTTGTATGCCTTCGTAGCGGCTTCCGGTCGTGACTGCACTTTGGTGATGTCCGTCTTGATGGCGGCCACCGTGCGGCTGATTGTGCCCGGACTGGTAAAGTCACCTAGTTCGCCGATCAGATTGACGACATGGTCGATGCACTCCCCGAGCTGCTTCGCGGTGTCTGTCGTGCAGCCTGTCGCTGCTGAGGCCTGAGCCTCGATGTTGTTGACGCGTGTGAGAGTGGTGTTCAACAACTGGTGTTGTTGCTGCTGCTGTGTTGCTGCGGCGTGGAGGACAGTTGTTAAGGTGGCAGTATCTTGTTGCTGCTTCTGTCTGAGTTGTCGCTCCACGAGTAGGTTTACCTGCATCATTGTGTTACTCCACATTACCGCCTTCATCATGCTCAGCATCAAATTAGCCAGGTTATTTCTTTCTACCTCCGCCGGTGTCGGAGCCGCCTGCTCGTCCGTAAGCACAAAAAGCATGCCTTGGAGGAGTGTTGTCCATTGATTCTCATTCTGAATTAGGGCCTCAGCGTTGGCGGCATTCCGCCTGTCTCGAGCCGTTGCATCAGCCTCAGCAGTCCGCTGAGCTTGGGCTGCCGCCTCATTGGCCAGCCGCTGACGTTCCGCCTCTGCTGCCTCCTGCTGTGCTTTAGCGGTAGCGACGACATACTTTACGGCACTCTACTCTACTCCACTACACGTTACTCCACTCTAGTATACTACACTCTACTCCCCTCTACTCCACTCTACGCCACTCTACTCCACTCTACTCTACGACACTCTACTCTACGACACTCTACTCTACTCTACGACACTCTACTCTACTCTATGACACTCTACTCTAAAAATAGTCTACTCTACTCTACTCTACTCTTCTCTACTCTACTCTACTCTACTCTACTCTACTCTACGACACTATACGACACTCTACTCTACATCACTCTACTCTACAATTCTGTACTCTACTCCACTCTACGACACTCTACTCTACGACACTCTACTCTACTCTAAGACACTCTAAGACACTCCACTCTACTTTTCGACACTCTATGACACTCTATAACACTCTATTTTACTCTACGACACTCTATGATACTCTACTCTACTCTACGACACTCTATGACACTCTACTCTACTCTACTGTACGACACTCTTCTCTCCTCGACTCTACTATACTCTACTCTACTCTACTCTCCGACACTTTACTCTTCTCTACGACACTCTACTTTACTCTACTCTATTCTTAAACACTTTATTCTATTTTACGACACTATAGGGCACTCTACTCTACTCTATGACATTGTACTCTACTCTACTCTACTCTACGACATTCTACTCTACTCAACGATACTTTATGACACTTTACTCTACTCTACTCTACTCTACAACGGTCTACTGTACTCTGTGATACTCTACTCTAAGGAAGATATTTTGTTGGTTTACAGATTACTGAAGATATGACACTCTACGACACCCTATTCTACCACACTCTACTCTATGACACTTTACTCAACTGTACTCTACGACACCCTACTCTACTCTAAGACACTTTAGGACATTGTACTCTACTCTACGACAATGTACTCTACGACACTCTACGACACTCTACTCTACGACAGTCTACTTTACTCTATGACACTCTATGACACTGTACTCTACTCTACGACACTATGACACTATACCCTACACTGCGACACTTTACTCTACGATATGACTCTCTACTCTACTCTACTCTAGTTTACTCTACTCCGAGACCCTCTACTCTACTCTACTCTAGTCAACGACACTCTAGTGTAATCTACTCCATGACACTCTATTGTACTCTACGACACTGTACAAAACTTTACGATACTCTACCCTACTTTACTCTACAAAACTCGAGTTTACTCTACGACACTGTACTCTACTATGCATTGCTCTACAAAACTCTACTCTACAACACTCTACTCTACTCTACTCTACTCTATGACTCTATGACACTCTACAAGACTCTTCTGTACTTTACGACACTCTATGACACTCTACAAAACTCCACTCTACTCTACTCTACTCTACTCTACTCTATAACACTCTACTCCTCTATACTTTACTCTACGACACTCTACTCTACTCTACTCCATGCTACTCTCTTGTACTCTACCCACTCTACTCTACTCTACTTTACTCTACTCTACTCTACTCTACTCTACTCTACTCTACTCTACTCTACTCTACTCTATGGCACCCTACTCTACTCGTTGACACTCTACTCTACTGTATGACACTTTACTATATGACATTCTACGACACTCTACTCTACTTTACTCTACTTTGCGACACTCTACTCTATTTTACTCTACTTACTCTACGATACTCTACTCTACTACGACACTCTACTCTACTCTACTCTACTTTACTCTACTCTACAACACTCTACTCTACGACACTCTACGACACTCTACGACACTCTACGACACTTTACTGTACCTTACGACACTCTACTCTACTTCACTCTACTCTACTCTACTATACTCTACTCTACTCTACTCTACTCTACTCTACAACACTCTACTCTACTCTACGACAGTCTACTCTACTATTCTCTACTCTACTCTACTCCACTCTACAACACTCTACAACACTCTACTCTACTCTACGACACACTACGACACTCTTCTGTACTCTATGACACACTACGACACTCTACAAAACTCTACTCTACGACAATCTTCTCTACTCTACTTTACTCTATGACAATTTACTCTACGATACTCCACTCTAGTAGGACACTCTACCGAAATTTACTCGACGACACTCAACGACACTCTAATGTATGACACTCTACGACACTCTATGGCACTCTACGACACTCTACAAAACTCTACTCTACAACACTCTACTCTACTCTACAACACTTTACTCTACTCTACTCTACTCTACTCTACTCTACTCTACTCTACTCTACTCTACTCTACTCTACTCGACTCTACTCTACTCTACTCTACTCTACTTTACTCTACTCTACTCTACTCTACTCTACGACACTATACTCTACTTTACTGTATGACATTCTACTCTAGTCTATGGACCTCTACGACACTCTACTCTACTCTACGATACTTTCCGACACTCTACTCTACCCTACGACACTGTACTCTACTGTACTCCATTGTACGCCACTCTACGACACCCTACTCTACTCTACTCTAATCTACTCTATGACACTCTACTGTACTTTACCCACTCTACTCTACTCTACTCTAGTCTACTCTACACTACTCTACTCTAAGACACTCCACAACACACTACTCTACTCTACTCTACCACACTCTACTCTACGACACTGTACGACACTTTACGACATTCTACTTTACGAGACTCTACGATACTATACTCTACTCTACTGTGGTGTACTGTACTCTACGACACTCTGCTTTACTCTATGACACAATACTCTACTCTACTTTACTCTACTTTAGGACAATCTACTTTACTGTACTCTACGACACTTTATGACAGTCTACTCAACTCGGAGACATTGTACGACACTCTACTTTACTCTGCATTACGATACTATACTCTACGACAATCTACCCTACTATACACTACTACACTTTATGACACCACTCTACTCTACTGAATCTACTCTACTCTACGACACTCTGCTCTACTTTACTCTTCTCTACTTTACTCTACTCTGCTCTGCTCTACGACACTCAATTCTACTCTACTCTACTCTATGCCACTCTATGACACTTTACTTTACTTTACTCTACTCTACTCTACTCTATTATACTCTACTCTACTCTACTCTACTCTACAACACTCTACTGTACTCTAGTCTATGACACTCTACTCTACTCCGTGACACTCTACTCTACTCTACTCTACTCTACTTTACTCTACTGTATGACAATCTACTCTACGACACTTTACTCTCCTCTACGACAGTCTATTGTAATCTACTCGAAGACACTACGACACTCTACTCCACTCTATGGCACTCCGCCCTACTCTACTCTATTCTATTGTACTCTACTCTACGACAATCTACTCTATGACAATCTACTCTACAATACTCTACTCTACTCTACGACTCTCTACTCTCCTCTACGACACTCTACTGTACTATACTCTCCTCTTCTCTACAACACTCTATGACACTCTACTCTACTCTACTTTACTATACTCTACTCTACTCTACAACACTATACTCTATTCTACGACACCGTACTTTATTCTACGACACTCTACGACACTCTACGACACTCTGCGACACTCTACGACACTCTACGACACTCTACAACACTTTATGACGCTCTACGGCGCTCTACGACACTCTACAACACTTTATGACACTCTACTCTACTCTACTCTTTTGTACTCTATGACACTCTATTCTACTCTACTCTACTCTGCTCTACTCCACTCTACTCCACTCAACCACACCCTACAATACGACACTCTACTCTACGACATTCTACTGTACGACCTCTACTCTACGACATTCTATTGTACAACCTCTACTCTACTCTACTACACTCTACTTCACTCAAGTATACTACACCACTCTACTCTACGACACTCTACGACACTCTACTCTATGACACTCAACTCTACTCTACTGGATGGCATTGTACTCTACCCTACTCGACGACATTGTACTCTACTCTACTTTACAACACTTTACTCTACTCTACTCTACTCTACGCTACTCTACGACACTCTACTCCACTCTACTCCACTCTACGACACGACACGACACGACACGACACGACACGACACCCTACTCTATTCTTCGACACTCTACTCTACGCTACTCTACTGTACTCCACTCTACTCTACGCTACTCTACTGTACTCCACTCTACTCTACTCCACTCTACTTTACTCTATGGTACTTTCTTTACCGTTTCGGTAGTTTTGGTTGCGGCGTAGCCCGCACCGCCCGCACCGCCCGCACCGCTGCACCGCGGACGCTACGCTACTCGTCAATTAAACTCAGACTCAGTATCCAGTTTAGGCTATTTTTTATAACCCTGTGATTCATGTTTTTTTTTTTTTAAGTCTGTCTCGGTTTATGTGAGTGGTCCATGTCAGGTGGCCCACAACATTTCTTATTTCTGCGGGCATGGCCCGCACCACCCGCACCGCGGCCGAGTAGTTAGTATATATACGATATATATATATATATATATATATATATATATATATATATATATATATATATATATATATATATACCACTGTAATTGATAATCCACCTTAACCCCGACCGTGGTCAAGCATGAACGACTGCCCGACAGCTAATACCCTGAGGGGGGCACCAACCACTGCCCTCAAGGTACCTGTGGCAAAAATCAAGCAGACTATCACTCACCCACACCAGATGGAAAACTCTACAGACTATCAGTTCACATCCCATCACAAGCCAGTAAAACACCCATGAAACAAAGAAAGGTCTGTCACAACTCAAAAATACACTCCAGACACGCCACTGGCACTAGAGGCACAACATGGCCATGTAGCGACAACCCCTATATATATATATATTGTCACATAACTACAATATATATATATATATGTATATATCGTCAAATAGAACTGCCCGGTAAACCGTAGGCAGAGAGGGAGAAGAGGACAACAAACGAGGGGCTGTATATATATATATATATANGTCAAATAGAACTGCCCGGTAAACCGTAGGCAGAGAGGGAGAAGAGGACAACAAACGAGGGGCTGTATATATATATATATATATATATATATATATATATATATACCCATGAAACCAAGAAAGGTCTATCATAGCTCAAAAATACACTCCAGACACGCCACTGGCACTAGAGCCACAACATGGCCGTGTAGTGACGACCTCTCTCTCTCTATATATATATATACGATATATATCGTCATATATATATATATCCTGATGAGTCGGTGAAACTCCGACGAAACAGTTTGTCACAGCCCCTCGTTTGTTGTCCTCTTCTCTCTCTCTGCCTACGGTTTACCGGGCAGTTCTATTTGTGACGATATATATGTCTATTTGACGATATATATGTATATATATATATATATATCGTCAAATAGAACTGCCCGGTAAACCGTAGGTAGAGAGGGAGAAGAGGACATATATATATATATATATAGATTGGATCTCATCCTCTTTGTTAGTTCATGGATCAAACTAACCCTCTGGCAGAGATTACTCGTAAAAGAAGGATAAGCTCATTAGGACCTGGAGGATTAACTCAAAAAACTGCTGCTTTTAACCGAGATATTCATCCTGGTCATGTACTTGTGGGGGTGCAAGTGTGCTGCTTCGACGGCAAACGGGTGTGCGGGCACTTGGCGCTTAACCACACAAACGTTGCCAACCTTGCATCTTCTACTAAATTGCTTATCTATACCTCTTTTTGTTTCATGGATGATTTGTGATGATTTGTGGATGGAATGAGAGAGAGACTCTGAGAAAGTTTTTGTTTTTTTGAAGGACATAGACACAGGGACAGAGACAGAGACAGAGAGGGAGAGAGAGCGACCGACAGACACAAAGAGAGACAAGGGGAGAGAGAGAGAGAGAGAGAGAGAGAGAGAGAGAGAGAGAGAGAGAGAGAGAGAGAGAGAGAGAGAGAGAGAGAGAGAGATGTGGGCATGTGGGCATTTCGGCATACACACATATACTGGGGTGCTGTAGCAGTGTATATAGATCTATCTACCTGCTCGTAATGACGTTCATCGCCAACGGCTCCGGGGCGAAGGAAGTCCCCAAACAGGATAAACTGGTTGACAAAGATATCATCATGATTTCCGGTCTCGTCCAGGAACCTCCTCATCAGTTCATGCACCATCTCTGTGAAGTACCTCTTATCTTCCGCATTGATCAGCCTGTCATGAAATACTCTCATGTTCTCGTGAATCCACAATGTCGTGAAGGATTTTTTGTTGCCGCAGTCTATTGGTCGGACCATGAGAATCCCTTGAAACACTTTGGAAACATCTCTCAAGTTGAACGTATAGTGGGACTTGGCTGGAGTTGGGAGCAGCTCTTGGGAGAGACGGTTATACACCTCGACAGTTGCTTCCACAATCACCTTGGCCAAGCCTTTCACTTCAGCAGGAAAGATTTGCAGAAAGCCCCCCAAGATGGCATTAAAAATTGTGCGCAGTGCAACGTCGGAGGGAGGGGGGACGCTCAGCATACTGAAATGCCGGAAGAAACGAGGAGTTACCTCATTTCGACCCCCTCCGGGGGGTGCACAGGCGGCTATGAGGGTCACGTCCTCCACCTCCTTCCAAAAAAGCTTGTCCAAATCATAAAACCCCTTCATGTCCAGAAACTGACGCAGCAGCTCCACCGGGGGCTGTGCGCCAAACTTCTCACGAGCAGGCATGTTGACATCATCGACAAATAACACGATCCTCTTCCCTGCGGGCGCACCGTACTTGGTCTTGCGTTTCTTCTCCAGCTTGCTCTCGATCAGCTCCTGTAGTCAGTCAACATACATGGTCAGAGATGCCGTCTCTCTCTCTCTCTCTCTCTCTCTCTCTCACACACACACAC